CTATACTCGGGTAGCTTACTATCCGGTAGTAGCGTAAACACATCCTAGAATTCTATATATTCCTTAGGGATCTTGTGTTCCTCCTCTAGCGTGCCTGTTACGTAGAGGGCTCGTTCCTTATAGTCGATAAGGACGTATTCTCTTAATTTGTTATCCGTTATGTCCGATCGCTATTCTCGTATAGCGATAACGTTAATATCGACTATATATTTGTCGTTAGGCCTGCCTCCTAGCCGAAAACTCCTCTTAAGTTCGCCTTCGTAAGGGTTTCTATAAGTACCTGCTTCCCCGGAGCTAGGTCTCTTTAGCGCTAGGTGCTCGTATCTAGTCTATAACTCGCTTATCTATCGATATAAGTATCTATCGAAGAGTATCTTTCCTGCTTGCTAGTCGATATTAGCGTTGTGCTTACGTAGCTATAGTACGCTAAGTACTATATCGTATTCTCCGAGGTTAGTGATATTAAAGTTAATTATCTCGAAGTAGTTCCTAATAACTATTAGCAAGGGTCCGCTCTCGTATATAATTCCCGGTCCTAAACTCTCTCTGTTTAGACCGATAATTAGTGTTAGTCGGGGTTTCTCGATACCCGAGATAGAGTAGCGGTTTCGATAGCGTAGGCTTATAAAGTTCCCTACCGCTCCTAAGTCGATCATTACTAAGGTTAGTCGAAGCATAATATTAGTAGTAACCTTTATATAGTATCCCTATACTATCGCTACGAGTTGTTGTTCCTTATTTATCCTCTAGTTTCCGTACTAGAGTCCCGCGTATTCTAGGCTCTATCTTAGAGTCCGTTCCTATCGTAGCAGCTTAGGTTCCAGGCTTCTATCGATCTTTTCTTAGTAGTACGTTATACAGTTATCGTCGTAGCAGGCCGACACGGTTCTAAGATCGTGGTTAGGGTATTAAGCGTATCCTTAGTATAAGTATCGTGTATCGCGGTATAGATAGTTTAAGTTACTTAGTGTCTATTCGGGGATAGTTCCCTCCTAGCCTAGGTCTCCCTCTTATAGCTAGTATATACGATCGATAATATCGTAAGCTCGTGCGAGTCGTTTATCGGTATCTTATACGTTTATTATTATATCCTAGAGTTCGTTACTTAATTCTCTCTAAGTAATTATCTTAGGGTCGATTTGAGGCTGTTTAGTAGTATCCGCTTCTAGGACTAGAGGTAGGGTTTCTAGGATCTCCGGGGTTCCTAGAATTTCGATAGGTATCTTTAGGATCCCTATACCCTAGTCCTAGGAATCGTCGGATAGTTCCTAGGAGTCGATAGTATTCTAGGAACCGTGCTAGGTCTATCCTTAACTCTTAATATTTTCCTAATCAATTTCCAGGACGTCTTCCTTTACGTACTCTACACTAATTAGGTCGTAGTCTCGTATAATTTCTTCTAGAGTCGGTTATTAGTTAGCTACGTCCCTATCGTTAGTAGCTCGTAGCTGCTAGGGTCGGACCTCGTTATTTTAGGTCGCCTATAACTATTATAGCCTTACGTTGTTACGTTCGTTATTACGCTTACGCGCCTATAGCTTTACGTTATTATATCGATTATACTCACGCGCCCTATATCCTAGCTTACTATAATTAAAGTATAGGTTATTATCCTTTCGCCGTTTTTCTTCTTCGGCTAGGAGTCTTACTACGTCGAGCTCTATTAGTCGTGGTCCGTAGAGGTCGCTATACTCCCTTAGCTATTGTTGTTGCTATCCTCGCCTGCCCTCGTAGTAGCATATATACCTAAAGGACCGCTATCCTTAGCTTCTCTACTAGCGTATTTCCTTTTGCTAGAGGTATCTTTCGTAGAGTCGGTTATTAATTCGAACTACTATCGAGACTATATCACTAAAGGTCTTAGGTCGTTCGATCCGAACTAGTTTATCCTTAATATCGTCCTTAAGTCTATCCTTAAAGATCGCGATATAGGTATCCTTATCCTAGTCCAAGTAGGAGATAATTTGTTAGAACTCGGCGGCGTATACGCTAGCCGATCTAGTTTACTTAAGACGTCGCAGGCATCGTTCCGTACTGCGGATAGCGTCGATGTCTCTAAAGGTCTGTTCAAGCTTCTTCTTGAATACGTTATAGGATTTGAATATATCCTTAGTAGTATCGCTCTACTCGTCTTTATCGGTTTTCTCCTAGTATTCGCGAATAAATAGCTTAAACTAGTCGAAAGCTTATCCGCGAAGGTAGGTAGAGACGAAGACTACCTTATCGTCCTTATTTGCGATCTAAGGGTTTATACGTAGCTATATTTCTATCTACGTGATAAAGCCGCGTAATTTCGCACGACTTCCGTCGAAGAACTCCGGCTACGGGAGTTTCACGGAGCGCTACGACTATCTTGCTTCTAGGTTAGCGATATACTCCTGGAGCTAGGCAACTATATCTAAGAGCTCCTTAGGAGATACTAAGGTTTTTGAGCTCGAGGAGACGTTGCTTGCGGTACTATCGTTTCCTGCTATAATAACTATACTTCACGGTTCAAAGACAGGGCGATCAATATGTTACGCGTAGCCGACTAGTCACTATAAGTAGAGCTTCGAGGGGTTGTACTTGCCTAGTCCTACTACAGATTCTAAGAGTATCTCTTAATCGTACCGTTGCTTCGCAAAGCCTTACTGCGGGATAGATCCTGTTGAGTATTCTTGCAGAACGTGCTAGAAGTACGCGCTAAGTAAGTCAATCACTAAGTGTTACCACTAAGTGAATCCCTTACTTATAGGTTGGGTTATCTTGAAGGTGAACTATAAAGTAAAGTACTAAAGATAGTAACCAAGTAACAATATGCAATTGATCGCGAAGAACTAAATACATGATACTTAATGAGTATCCTTATATATCTAGTCCTTCGTATAGGTATAGATGCTGTAGTAGATAGGTCGTAGATCTATAGTAGATGATCTACCCGTCCTTTAGTGCCAAGACCCACCTAGTATCTACCGTTCGGGGATCACGTATTGATTGTGCGTGCGGCTATTCCTGGCGTCCTCCTAACCGTCCGAGCGTATAAGCGAGTATACGATATCATGGTTAGGCACAGGCCGTTTGTGGCTCCCTGCCTGAATGTTTTACCCGTGGCCCTTAAGGGGATGCCTGGGTGTTAGGAGTTGCACGTGATGACGCTAATGCAATGCGTCCAGGGGTTGATTGGGTCTCGGTTGCCCCTCAACTAGCTGCGGCCTCCCCGCGCCTCGAGGTTCGTAACAGATATATCCCGACAGAAACAAAGCCTGTGTTCCTAAGACTTAGTAATTAGGTTCCGGATATCAGATATCGGAGAGAAAGTTATTATAGGTATATATCTATTCTACAATTTTGCTATCTGTGTTAAACTATAAGAGCCTAATCACATTTATTTTCCCTGGATTTACCGGTATACTTATCTCTTATATCGTGCTATACTATTACCCGACGCAAAAAGCAAAGCGAGGCTCGGTCGTTCTAAAACGACTAAACCTACGCCGGGAATTCAAGACGGTTAACTAGTTAGTTAGTTAATAATAGATAATTAGATATATTAATACTTGATCTGCTTAGATAACAAAAATAGTGGGGTACGTAGAACTTACTTTTTGAGTATGCTTCTTGCTATTTATATTTGCCCTCCTCTCTAGGTGTTTAACTAGCTTATTTTGACGGCTTAATAATATTTTAAGACCTACTATACTTAGCTACTTTCTTTAATTGTCTCTTATACTACCGTTATCCAGTCAAAATAAACAATACGGTAAACGTAAGGAAAACCCCTATAGTATTACTTAATCTATGCTGAACTAACTATCTAGTATAATATAAACATATTCATTGTTTTTACTTAAGTTACCCTATTTTCTTTGCCTAATAATCTATATAGTAGCTAATATCGTGTTCGTTACTGTATCTTATGATCTACTATCTTTGTTAGTAGATTTAAGTCTATAATGTCCAGGGTAAGAGTAACAAAAGGGTTCTCGCTATCTATTTTGATCGTATCTAGGCGAATTTCGAAATGTTTTAAATCAATTGTTAATCTAGGACGTTTAGGAAGTTGAATCACTTTCATAGGTTTCGCCCGAAGCGTGCATTCTTACTACAAAGTGCAGTCCATCCCGACCCCTTAGACATACTCACAGCACCTCTAATCGGACGACGGGGAAAGACGACTTTCTCCGCTTAACAAATTGCTCAAGTCTCGGCTAACCACTTACCACTAATCTATGTTTTTTTCTGTTGGTTATTTTAACGCTACATAAGCTTTTGATCACAGACCGGCTATAGCCTTCATCTTCGTAGAGCAGTACACTATTACAGCCATAGCGCGTACCCAATATTAAAGAAATGGATTCTGATATAGTGAAGGTGCATAATTATAATTATACTGTCCGGTTAGTATCTTCTAGGGGTGAGAGGCTCTTATTAATTAAATCAATGAATGTTATCCGCGGCATGCCCATTATTTGTGGTGTTCGATCGACTGATGCCAATATATAAAGCCTAAACATATGGTTAAGATGATTATAGATCCACTCGATTTGGACCATATTCGATCTGAGCGTGCGCAGGATTTAAGCCGGATTATCGTCTTGGCTACAGTAGCGACCGTTATTGCATTCCATAATAGAAACAAAGATGCACATTTTCAAACCCTAATCACATGACCCGCTAACCCTTATATAGATACTTCCGTAATCAAAACAATTGTTCCAGGTTTGTATAGTAACAAAGATAAAAGTATACTCATATACCTTTACATGTCCAAAAATAGCCACCCCCACACCCACCATGTTATCGTCCGTTCACACTCCTCGCAACCTTGAACTTGCAAACACCCAAACATTGTGTACATGGTATGCTAAGCTATGACCTCTATTTCGTTTAGCAACGGAAATTTAGGGTCCCAGGTTGGGATCAATCACGGGTCAATATATCTTTCAGCTGGTGGGTTTCCAAAGTCCCTCAAATCTGGTCTGGGTAAAGTCAACTAACAGGACTTCCCTCTTTTCCTAGACCGACCAGAACCCCACCCAGAGCCTATTTCGACGGTTCCGTTCCCGCGCGACCCAGAATTTGTTAATCGCGATGCACTCCTTGACCAAATTCACCAGAAAGCCACGATCGCGGGGTCCAGAATAGTTCTCGTCGGCCTCGGTGGCGTTGGGTCAGGGTACCACATCCTACGGGTCCGTTCAATGCTGACTACGCGATAGGAAAACACAACTTGCCGCTGAATACTACCACCGAGTTCGACAGCAATCGACCGACACCTAGGTTTTCTGGATCCATACGAGCAACGCTGCCCGCTACGAGAAAAGCCTCGGAGATCTTGCGGATCGAGTCAAGATTCCTGGGCGTAAGGACCGCAACGCGAATATATTCCAACTCGTCGGGAACTGGCTTCAAGACGGAAGGATAGGAAAATAGATTCTTGTCCTGGATAACGTTGACGATAACGAGCTCCTTCGAAAATCTATTATGATCAATAGGGAGAGCCAAGCAAAAGGCCTAAGTAGTGCATCGACGCAGCCACCGCTGAGATACTTGCTCGAAAGCTCATATAGCACTATATTAGTCACAAGTCGGAATGCAGCGGTGGCTCTGGACATCGCCGATTGCAAGAATCACGTCAAAGTGCAACCAATAGACAAGGCTGAAGCGCTAGAGCTCCTACAGAAGAAGCTGAACATGCGTACGGAGTGTGAGAACATGATGCAGCTAGTGGAGGCACTTGAATTTATGCCACTTGCGATTGTACAAGCCGCTGCCTATATCACGCATCGTTCACCCCGCTTCTCGGTATCACAGTACCTAGAAAAAGTCCGAAAGAGTGATCAGGAGGCGGTAAGGTTGCTCGATTACGAGGCAGGCCTTCTTTACCGAGACTGGGAGGCTAAGAACTCCATTCTACTCGCATGGCAAATATCCTTTGACTATATTCAATGTGTAAGACCGTCAGCGACAGGCCTACTTAGTCTCATGTCCTTTTTCGATCGACAGGGAATTCCAGAGAGCATTCTCCGACTCTGGCGAGGCCAGGAAAACAATAGCAATATATATCCAGAGAGGACCCAGGACAGCTCTTATGAAGAGGAGGGAGACTGTACGTCTGACTCTGACTCAGATCAGCACTTTGAAGATAATATAACAACACTTTGCAACTTTTCATTGATTTCAATCGGAGAACACAACACGGTGTTCATAATGCATCGACGTATTGCGACCAGGGCCGGTGGGAGGAAGCCGAGCAGCTGTTTATGCAGGTGATGGATACTCGCAAGATGAAGTTCGGCGAGGACCATGCTGAGACACTAGTCAGCATGGCCAACCTGGCGGCGATATATAGGAACCAAGGTCGATGGGAGGAGGCCGAGAAGCTAGGGTGGCAGGTGATGGAGACTCGCGGCACGAAGCTCGGCGACGATCATCCTGACACTCTAGTGAGCATGAATAACCTGGCGGTGATTTATAAGGACCAGCGCCGGTGGGAGGAGGCTGAGCAGCTCTTTGTGCAGGTCATGAAGATTCGCAAGACGAAACTTGGCGACGATCATCCCGACACTCTAGTGAGCATGAATAACCTGGCGGTGACTTATAAGGACCGGCACCGGTGGGAGGAAGCCGAGCAGCTCTTTGTGCAGGTCATGAACGCGTTCATGACTAAACTCGGCAAGGATCATCCCTTTACGCTGACGAGCATGGCCAACCTGGCGTCGACGTATAGGAACCAAGGTCGATGGGAGGAGGCTGAGAAGCTAGAGGTGCAGGTGATGGAGACTCGCAAGACGAAGCTCGGCAAGGATCATCCCGACACGCTGACGAGCATGGCTAATCTTGCTTTTACCTGGAAATCTTCCGGCAAAACTTCAGATGCTATTAATGTGCTAAGAGATTGCTTAGCTAAGCAGAAACACACCATCGGGCCTAATCATCCTTATACTATGTCAAATGCCGAAACCTTGCTGAGATAGGAAACCGAAGAGCTAAACATTTGTGCATAATCCCCGGAATTTTTCGTCAGTATCTAATAGATATTCGTTTCCGAACATTTTCCTACAGCTTGGAGCGCGTGATAGGGGGAGCAAGTAAGAGGAAGCGTATTTGCAAGATGCGTAATTCAAGGTCTAGTTAGTATTGATGTTGTTAGTTACTTTCCATGTCCATTTTGACGGGCAGGGTTGATAAGCAGTCTAGCTGCGTCTGGCCTAGATAGGCTTTATCATGGACTTGGCGTTAGGACCACCCTAGAATGAAACTCATCGCCGACGAACCGTTTAAGCGGAGGGTGGATAGTGGAAGGTCGATTCGATCGATGAATTCAGGCGGGAAGGAACGATCCATTCTCCACCGCAGCTGAGGTGTGACGGCCTCCGAGATTCCGCGCCTATGGAATGCCAGCATTGCTGTATGGAACCTGTTCACCATAATCTTTGTAGCAATTAGAGGACAAGTCAGTACGAGATTTATAATCATGGATAACTTCACGGGAGGTATGAGAAGTCCTCATGGTGGACCGAGTGGAAAAATCCGGTGGACGACTGGGGAGTGGTCTTCACTGTTTCATGCGGTTGCAAGGCTTAGCTAAGGAATGCCTAATGCCTAATGAAGACCCAAAGCCGCCACATGGCGATAAGCGATGGTGATCACGAAATAAAATATATCTTACCGTCAAGTCTTGCTAATTGACTAGACCCGGGATGGACCCCAGGGCAGCACTGGACCCTCTGCAGTGAAGCAACGGAGGGATGGGGGAGAGATTGCCAACGGTCTTCTAGTTTGCTCGGTTTGCATGGAGCCTTCGAGTCGTCTAGGTCTCGACCTTGTAGTCTACGGTTATATACAAAATCAGGTATCATTACGACGTATATACAAACTTAGTAATTTACGTAAATTCGATTCGGGTTTAGCATATCATGTGATTAGGGTTCGAAACAGTATGTCTATGTTTCCCCATATGGAATGCAATAACGGTCGCCACTGTACCTTATTAGCAACGTAAAGAACTAAGTTATCTCCGGTCTCTTCTCTTTCTTCGCTAACTATAACTTCACCTCGTTTTAAGCCGGTATGTACTGCATGCTAGTTGTTCAACATCACTTATAGAGATGGTCAATTCCTAATTACTCAATTTGTTTGGGATGTCTGTACATGTATATGTTGTGACTTCGGAGTGTATATAATCCTTAAAATATCCATTCCCAGGGACCACTTCTAGCTCTCTCTCCAACTTTTTAGAGATACAGTACCTGTTTCTCCTTTCCTCCTGACCTTATTTCCGTTCATCTCACCTTGTTCCTCGTCTTTGTATTGTTCCCGCATCCCAAAATGGATCGCTCTTGCTCCTACGATGCCCGCAAAGTTTCAGTCTATATGTCATCGTAATAGCAGTGCCTTCGGTCCTAACGCGAACCCTAGCGAGGACTAGACCAAAATTTTAGATTTGGTAGAACGTCGTCGGATCCAAAATCGGATAGCGCACTATCGTGAATAGATCCGAACTCCTTCCCCGATGCGGCGTAACTCGCTCATAGGCCTGTTTTAATCGCAACGGGCAAGAAGTTGAAGCAGCGAATAGAAGATCTGGAGAGGCGTATTGCTAATTCAGCATCTCTAGGGCAATTATACCTAGAGTCTATATTACCGCTCAAAGCGACGTCTCGGCCTAACCTAAATCAGTAACCACACCCGTACCCTTAAGGGTTAACGGCGGAAGCCACAGTATATATATTGCAGGAGCCGCCTGTAGAGTGGCCGGCCTCGTACGATCACTACAACCAAGATAAGCGAGTTATGCTCACGCAGCAGTGTACTACCATATTCGAATTCAGATTCCCCTGCGTCTACTTAGAAAGTAATTCTCTAACCCTATCCTAAATCGCGCTAGGCTACGTTCGGACTAGCTGCGGATCGTGGCTTGTATATAATATAGTTACTAGAGACGCGCGCTCCGTACGCTATTGCCCTAAAACGAAAAGGAACGAAAGTTAAAACATAAAGACGGACGGGTATTTTTGATAAGCGGGCGGAAATTAGATACGTGTATACGTATGTGTATATTTTACGGCCGCGGCTCGTGACTTGCTATAATCCTGCTCCGTAGGCTGGCTAATAGACTATTATGACGTGGGCCGCCTTGTCTGCTTTAGAGGGCCTTTTATTAGCCCGCCCGCTCTCACACACGGAATTTCATTCGCCTTCCTTTAGGGAGTAACACTAGACGTCACGAGAAGGTTTGAATTTGTTATCCTAATAGCTGGGCAAGGGCTGTTGCCTGGCGCGAGCTCATGGCGAGTCATATCCTTTCTGTGCTAATTCCTTGCGTTGCTTTATTTCAGAGCACACAAAACACTGTATATCGCGTGGCTGGCTAATGCTGTAGGTTGCTATCTATTTCTAGGTATATATACTGTCCCCTGAGTATATATATATATATCGTGTTACTACTGCTGTTATATAACTAGGCGTAGATCAATAATATTCATTGCGGATACTGTTTAACAGGATTGTTATAGTAAGTCAAGTTGATATCTCTCTATGTAGTTTTACTAAGATGCTTTTGTATTTGCACCCGGTATAGCCCTCTCTCTAAATTTAATATCTAGTTCTATACCTACTATATTTATTGGCTAATAATGATAGTGCAGGTTATATAAGATGAAAGCATTAGCAAAAATCTACTATATACTATACTCTATTTAGTAGGGAGGTAAAGATCTGATTGACCGCTTTTTCGAACCGCTTTTTTAATGTAGAAGAGAGTGCAATATAAAAAACCCGTGATTTATGTAGTATATTCGACGAGATTTTTAGTTAACACCTGAGATTTATCTTTTAATAATTGTTCCCTTATATATTTCGAGCTTTTAAAATAGCGGTAAATTTTATCTCTATCCCTTTAATCGACTTTAATGATATAAGGACCCCTATCACAAAATACTGCTTTCTCGCTGCGCTTAGGTATATACTCGTCAACGTTAGCTTCTTCTACCTCTAGAATCCTCTAATTAGAGTAGAGTTACGGGAGAGACTTATAAAGGCAACGGGTGTATTCTTCGATCTCCTAATAGCAAAGAAGCTAGAGGTAGACGTGGCTAATAGTAAGCACTTCCGTGGATACGCTCGTTCGGGGACCGAGAAAACGGCGACAAAAGCGATTAGCGAGAAATATTTACTGTGTGTTTAATCACTAAGCCCCAGAGTTGATTAAAATATAAAGTTTATGTTAGTTAATACTAACGCGATTCGAAGGTCGGTTTTGAGGCACCTATCCCGAATTTAAACTTACCGATCTACTTTAACCTCTAAGGACCTAATTAGGTATAGCCGCTAACTAGTGTAAAGTTTATTTACCTACTGATTACTCTAATGTAAAGTAGCTTCCTAAAGTAACTATACCGGGCCTACGGCTAGCGATCGAAGCGTACCTTAAGGAGACACAGGCCTTAGTAAACGAATTTATCCTATTAATTACCGAAGTATTAGATCTAGATATAGCTACCTTTACTAAGCTACTCTAGGGTGAATCTCCTATAAGTTCCTTTAGAATTAGTGCTTATCGACTACTAGACTCTTTATAACCTCCCGAGACGGAGATTTAAGGTGTTAGGGCCTATAAGGACGCTAGCTTTTTGACCTACCTTCTCTAGAGGACGGGCTATTTATGTTTAGAGGTTTAGAATAAATATGGAATATAGATCCTAGCTCCTCCTATCCCGAATACACTTGTGGTGAATATTAGCCAGTTACTAGAAACCCTTATACAAGGTATTTGCGTTGCGACTACTTATCGAGTTAATCTCAAGTCAAGCTAATATCAAGGAACAGGTAATACTCTACTCGGTACCCGGCTTAGCTTTGTATTCTTCTAAATATTAGCTCTTGAAGTGACTCGGGAGAATATATTGCTAGAATTACCGTCTCGCCTTATGGGTTTACGTAAGAAGGATATCAAGTCCGAAGCAGAGATATTCTTTGTTGAGGTTTTTAAAGGCTCCGCTAGCTAGGCTCTTCTAACAAATATAATCACGAGCTACCCTGAACTTGGAAAACGATAGTATCCTGATCTCTTGGCTAATTTGCTGAAAGATCAGTATAAAATGAAGCTATTAGATAATGCTAGATTATGTAGGGAGGCTTAGGTGATTTAGATAGTATCGTGGAAGGATACTTATGATCTTTCACCTATTACTGAATCTTCGTAAGTTTTTGCGAATGATTTTAATTACCTATTTACTATATTTAGCTGCGTCTGCCACTTAAGTCGTAGTTAATAACTTACTTTGTATTAAATTATGTATAAAGTGTAACGTTGAGGCCGGTAGTCCCGATATCATATTATGCGTATAATTCTAGCTTCGAGATAGTGATAATTATGGATAGCAAGGCATAGGGAACGGTGGATATAGAGTGTAACAGGAATACTATATACCAGTTTCGTGTAATATGCCGTATTTTACTTTATGCGTTTGTTCTGGAATAAAAGTTGTCTAGTCTTAGGACACTATTAATTATAGCAGTCTAGCCGATAAGCAGGATATCTCGGTGGTTTAATAGTTGTGGCCCCACGGACTGAGCATCCACAGTTAGACAGAGCTAATTAGATAGCGTCCTAGATCAATAAGGCAAAGCAAGGTTGGGGGAAGGGGGGGAAAGGAGGAGAACAAGTACTAAGACAGGGTCCGAGTAGTAATAAATAGTATAGCGTTGCAATAAACTAGAGGGAGGCAAGCAGATGATGAAGCAATCAAAGCAGCGAAATATATAGGAATATACAGAAATAGCCCTACAACCCTAAGCTAAGACGATCTAGTCTGAAGAAAGCGATAATAATGCAGGTACGGGGGACTATAAAGACGAATGACAGACGTGCGTGGCAAAATAGTCTATATATAGTTAAGCTATGTCTTTTTGCAACGTCTCGCGTATACGTATATCCGTGTTGATTAAAACCCTTCCTCTTACTACGTTCTTTCAGGGCACTGTTTATTAGTGTTTAAAACATGGTACTTCAGTCTACGGGCATAAAGATTGTTGGGGTAGGTACTATATTCCAAACAAATACGAATAGTGACTGTATTATATACACGCCACGATCTGCAGCTAACCTGAATATTCACTAGCGCTTCTTAGGATCGGGCTGGAGAATGATTTTCTGAGTGGACGAAGGGAATTTGATTTCGAACACGGTAGTATATATTATCCGTCGGCCCCGCCACTACTAGTTATCTCCTGCCTGCTAACGTCTACTTATAAGAGCTACTATCCTCCTTACTATCAGATACCGGTCTATCACAATGTACCACGGTCCTACCACGATATGTCCATTGTGAATTATGGGGACTATAGGGAGACGTTCCTATCTATAGTATCAATAATGACTAATTAAGAAGTCACAGCAGCACGACGTGCTATTTCCTGCTCCCTAGTTGTTAATATATAGCCTCCGCTGCTCTCCCGGGGCTGCTATATTTCTCTCCTATTATTAATTACATATACTCCCTTAGCCTAATTAGTATCTTTAATCAAGAATAAAACGCTAACTATCTCCTAATAATCAGGAATCTACCTAAGCTCCGTTAGAACGTTATTAACTGCTTATTGCTAAGCTAGATAGAGGCATTTCTGGCTAGCTAGGTGCTCTTATGCCGCTTGGCTGTCTGTAAAGAAATTTTTTCCGGGCAGCGTATACTACGCGATAGGCTAGTCTCGAACTAAGATAGGAAGACGTATCGGTACAACATCTTAGTGTATTAGAGTGCCGCTATAGCGGGAATATCCGATTACACGGGGTTCTCTCCACTATAATTGTTACTTAGGTATAAAGAGGGCTTCCTCTAATAGGCTGTATGCTCTGATATTTCTTTTCCCCTTATAATCCCGCTTCTAGGAAACCCCCTTAACTCCTAAATATGGCGATGATAATCACTATAGGTAGCTATTCTAACACGATTGTGATAGCTAATAACGTGGAGTTGCTAAGGGTAGAGCCGAGTAGCTCACGAGGTTGGAGGGTACCCGGCCGCGATTATAGTTACTAGGACTTTGAAAACTTGATTGCTGAATCAATCAATGATGAAGCGGGTCCGATGATATCCTATAAACGTAAAAGAACTAGAATAAAGGAGCTGTCTGCTTTGGAACCAGTTCCTCGCCAGATTTCCTTTCTGCTTTGCTGATAATGGAATAGGATAAAGCTTTTGAAGAGCTTCGGAAAGCAACAAGTTATAAATTACAACGGCTAGAAGAGAAAAATCAATTACTTCAAGACAAGCTTCGGTTAGAGAGGGAAAGATACTAGAAGGCGTAACAAGAGCTTTCCGAGCAAGGAAAAGGCTTATTATAGAATGCAAGATCTGCTACAAGCAGCTAGATCGCTGGATGACAATTTTATGTGGGCACATGATTTGTGAGTCATGCGTAGGTAACCTAGAAACACCGAAGAAGTGCCCTGTCTGTCGAAGTATATTCGTAGGATATGTCGGATGCTATATACCCTTTTGCCGGATAAAGCAAAGAAAGCGTGCTAAATCTACCTCAGTTACTCCAGTAATTCACCTTATCCACACCAACAAACTGAATAAATCAAGGTCGACAATACAAGCCTTAGTCGCGTGCTCAATCCGGGGATAATATTTGATTCAATTGCCATGTTGGACCTTGGGCGCGCATTGGTACTGTGTGATTCGAAATCAGTTTTACCTCCAATCTCTCGCTCTTTATTTCCCAAGGCCCCACATCTAGCGCACTAGTCCGTATTAGGAGATCATTCCGCCAGCCTTGCATTTGTCAATGTACCTTCGCTGAGCTGGGGTAAATTACAGTATTCTTGTCTTCTGCTACTCTATTCTTACCTCTCATGTTATCATTATCACGTCAATCGGCCGACTACATCTTGGCACGGACAGTGCGATGGAAAGCCTTTGCAAATGCGCTGGTAGCCCTACAGTAATATTCGATTTCAGATCACCTCCACATCACCGAAGAATTCGCAAAACCTAGATCGAACATCCTAAGTCAAGTTGAGTGTCTTCCCTAGCGACCCGTGCTAGATTGCGCTGTTTTGACTAGGAACGAAAATTGAGTTATTGCTGTGGTACCGTCATTCCTGATTGCTGGTAGAAGTTTGAATGCTAGCCCCGCGCGTTGTCATCTGCCATGCTCTAGGCCCGCACTTGCAAGTATCTCGTTCCCCAACAAGTTCTTGTTAAATACCTCTTCCTTCTCTTTCAACCCTTCTTACATTCAACCATATCTCATCCTAATTTTCTTGAAGATGGAAAGCTCGTGAAAGCCGAGAACATCATCTCGTACCGATTCACTGAGCGGCTTCAACTTTTGACAAGCATTACAGCTAGCCGACAGTATCCATTAGGATGGGAATAAGTATCTGGCTCTCTTCGGTGTTACTGTCATCAAGTTGGTTCTTATCAAGAAGGGCCTTCGTCGGCACGCGACCCGTGGTAAGGGATAAAATCTTACCACGGATAATGACATGACCTTGATTAATTTATCTGTCTCTTTTTAGGTCAGATTAACAACATTATATCAGAGAAGTCATAAAAGTAGGGGTAAAAGCCCTATATGTGACCCGTAGGAAATCTTAATCCTTGACACATCATAAGACGTCAATATGCGGCTGTTCTGCTCTCCCTTATCCCCTGTTCACATCTATTGTCCAGAGCTCGAGTATCTCATGCTGTGCCCATTCCTACTTTGTCTAATAGCTATTTGATAGGAACCCTGAGTCCAAAAAGCTCTACGCAGAATCGGGGCGAGAATAGCAGTGTTCACGGCCACGATTCCAACGAACGTTTCTCGGACGCCCCAGCTATTGACGAGGAACGAGGATGGTTTTCCAGTGAGGGTAACGCTCGTACGAATGATTGAAGCTGATATAACGAATATCCCAGAGCTGAGGAATATACTGACGACAAGTTTCCTAAAGGGAGATGTTAGTGACTAAATGATCAGAAGCATGAAATGACGTTAATACTGACTTTCTTAAAGGGACATGCAGTGTCCACAATAGAGGCACAGGAAGGCAAAGCCTGGGGGTCTATGAGAAAGGTATATCAAATAGATATTGGGGGATTGGAATCGGCTCACAATGCTGCATCAGTCCTATTATGCTTTTATTAGCAATGGAAGACAGGGAAGAGAAATAAAAGGAGCTTATACGTACATCACATTTAAGACACAGGTGACAATAAGATTCTGCACCTTTAAACCACATTGTCCTGGAAGACCATGTGAATAGATCGAACTTTTCAATGATTCTCGAAATAAAGTGCAGCTTACTAGATGGGGGAGGGTAGATCCTCCAGTTGTCTGAAATGCTTCAACCAAGTCAGCCTCACAGATATCATGAAATGTTAAACCGTGGGTGCATACGGCCAGCAACCAAATGTGATGGTTAGGAAGACAGCTATATATGTGACGGTACAAGCAATCGCAAGCCCTTTCACCAATCTTTCCTGCCAAAGCCCATAGAAAATCCGATTGCTATAAACACGGTCAATAACAAGCTTCCTGTGAGTGGCGCTGATATGGGAAAACTTACTAGAAAAATAGCATTGATGCCTTCAAAACCCAAATTAGTCCAGTATACGAGTACCAGGCAGCTAGTTCACACTTTGCACCGTGGATAAAGGTAGCAGCCTGGCTAGGTGATAACTGGTTGGCCATATCTGGCGGTATTTCAAGGATGGTCCCTGTCCTATCTTCGCGCTATAAGCATGAAACAGGTCTCAAGGGTGCAAAAGAGCATCATTTACAAATGAAATAAACGAGAGTTTGATCCATGGTGAATAAGGCGACAACCTTTTGATCAATTAGTAAGAAGGGAATAGAAATTCAGTTGAGGTAACACAATTCATACTAGAATAGTAAGATAGTCGTCGCCTTGAAACTCTCTGAACCCCACGGTTCTTATTCGAATGAAGGATCGTAGAAAAATGACACAAACGCCGACCCCATATTCGATCCAAATTTCTGGTATAAAAGT